TTCCTCCCCTAGTCATCAAGTTCTTCCTTGTGCTTAATTCCAAACCGCTGTGTCTCTGGGAGGTCCAGGCAGAGCCTGCCCCCGATCATAGGCTGGAAGTTCCTGAGAGCCACAGGACGTTAGGGCCTTAGTCTCAACGATGACACAGGTAGACTGTGGGGTTCCTCCAATGGAGCAGTTGTGAGGCCTGTCTCTGATGAATCCCTGCTCCCGTTTCAAAAGCCCTCTGTCTCAAGACTGCACCCCACACTCTTTCATCCGTGACAATGGCTGCCCTGGCCGCAGTCTCAGCACCTCCTCGGGGGCCTCCTCCAGCTGCATGAGCAGCAACCATGATGGAAGCAAGGGAGTCTGTCTCCCATCTGTCCGCCTCCATCACCTGCACGCCCACCTCCCCACCCTTCCTCTGGCAGCCCCACTCTCAGGCCATGATGTGCTGCAGCTGACGGTCTCGGCTCACAGCGGGGCCCGGGACCAGAGTACACTCAGGCCTCTGGGGTCGGCGTCAAGGTGGCTTGGCAGGGCTGCTGAGGGAGGCTTGTGGAGTATCAGCTTCCAGAGCTCGGCTGGGGCTGGTTCCCATTCACTCTTGTCTCTCTGGAGGAAGGATGTGCTCTTGTGAAGCCACATGCAATCGTTGGATAACAACGACAGGACATAAACAATAAGGAAAATCTCAGCAGGGACACGCGGCTCCAGTCCCTGCTGAGGGCCTGGAGTAGTGGCTGCAGTGCTGGAGAGAGGCGGCTGGGGGCCGATCCCCCCACTCCCGGCCACGTTCCTCCATCCCCATCCACCCGACCTCTTGTGAAGGGAGGGGGCTGCAGGATCGCCCATGGGTGGGTTGGGGGTCCTCGGGGATGTCCGATGTCCTCCCTCACAGGCAGTGTGGGTTGCACCCTGGTGCCAGCAGACCTGGGTCCCATTCCTGGCTCAGCTCTTCATTAGCAGTATGTCCATGTCCAAGCCACTTAGCTGCCTGGGCGCCAATGCTTCATTTGTTACTGTAGAGAGATGTGTTAGGTGTCCTTGGAAGTCTCTCCAATTCCAGAGTCCTGGAGATAGATCAGTTTGCTCTTGTGAAATGTCCCATGCCTGTAGCTGGCTGTGCCTTGGGCTGGCAGCAGGGGTGTTGGATGACACCCTGGCAGTCGGATGTGTGGCAAGTAAGGACACCAGAAACCTTACATTTGACATCTCTCTTATTTTCCAGATCCCTACTTCTCCTTAATGCCACAACACCCCTATAAGCCTATAAGGCAGGGAAGTTACAAGGTCCCAGAGCGCTAACATCCAGGATTCAAATCTTAATCTTTCTGACTCAAACCTCTTTCCATTCTCCTACTATGCCTGAAAGAATCTAAATCCAAAAGTAGGGTGGAATGGTTGTCAGTTGGGCCCAGAGATCAAGGAAGATTTCTAAATTTTTTTAGCTCAGTACACGTTAACCTCCATCCCGGGTCAGTAAGAAGAGCTTCTGCGTTCAGTGATGGTTCTGCTCAGGGGTTTTCAAGTATTTGTTTTTTCCTTTCAGGGCCATAGCTGGTCACACCAGCTAATATTTCACATCAGCTCATGTGTTCTTCTTTTTATGAGAAGGTACCAATATTACATGACATAAAAGGAACATGATGACTAGATGTTAGCACCACAAAACTGCATTCCAGCTTTTCTTTTCATTTAAAACAAGTTCATTTGAGGAGAGTGGAGAAGGAGTGTTCATTGCTGGAGGAAATTGACACCCCCACCTTGGAAACAATTTTGCATTGGTTAGGATAAGGTTAGGCTGCAATTGGTAGAGCGCTAAAATTGCAATGGCTAAACAAGGCAGAATTCTATCTTTTGCATGAAAATCTAGGAGGCAGCCCAGGGCTTCCACAGTCAGACCCAAAGTGTGTCTCTCTGGACTCTTTGCTGTTTCTGGCTGGACTTTGACCTTAAGGTCTGCTTGTATCCATGTTTTAGGCAGCAAATTGGGGAAAGGAAGAAGATGACGATGGGGGAACAGAAGGCACTTACTTCCTGATTTTGAAGAAGATTCCAGAAGCTGCTTCACGACACTCTCACCTACACCACACCGGGCAGAAATTACTGTTATGAAAACACCTCGTTGCAAAGGAGATGTAGTCTTGAATCTGGATCTCAATATGCTTGGTTAAAAACGAAGAAACGGAGAAAGGCTGATAGAGAACAGCTAGCAGTCTGCCACCAAGGACGGGACCTTGACCCCTGCCTCCCAGCCCTTCCCCAGACTTTGGACATCTACAGCCATTTAATGGATTTTGGTGCACACCTGAGCCACGCTTGGTTAAAAACGAAGAAACGGAGAAAGGGACTGATAGAGAACAGCTAGCAGTCTGCCACCAAGGCCGGGACCTTGACCCCTGCCTCCCATCCCTTCCCCAGACTTTGGACATCTACAGCCATTTAATGGATTTTGGTGCACACCTGAGCCACCAATTCTAAATAAAGTTAAAAAGGCATTCATCACATTTAAAAAATAAGGACAAAAAATAAGACGCTAAAATTAATGACAGTCACGATTTTGTCTTAGTGAGAGGGTGATGCTGCCTGCTGTCTTTCACCAAAAACGTGGTTCCTGGGGCCGGGATAGCGAGCTGGGCCTGCGGGTCAGCTCCACAGATGGTTCCTTTTCTTACCTGTTGTTCTCACTAGATCAGAAAAACTTAAATTACAGCTAGAATTACAGTTAGGCAAGTGATTCATGACTCTTTCTCATAGTTTGGATATGCCAACCACAGATAAACATGGAAATTGGGGAGATTTCTTGCCGAAGGCCACTTTCAGCATTTTGTCAGAACTATGTCCTACTCGGAAGCAGGAAGGTTGGTGTTTCATCTTAGGGCTGCCACATGGATTCCTGACCTACCCTGTCATTTGGTTTTGGTCTGAAACTGCATCCTTTGTTTTGTTACAGCCCTTGGATGTGGTTTTTAACTACGACCAGTAACGCGTCGTGTCTGTCTCCAAGGAGAGGAGGAGACCATCAGCTAGAGAAAAAACTGCCTGGATTTGAAACTGTTTTTATTGCTTTGTTTTAATTTACTTTGGGTAAATTACTTAAAATTTCCCTACCTTGGCTTCCTGAACTTTAAAATAGAGATAGGATAGTACAAGCCTTACGACGTAGTTGTGAATATTCACAGGCTAAAGCACGCGACCACCTCAGTCAGTTCTGTCACTGCCAGTGCATCTTCACTGTGGCGATTGTTATCACCCGCAGGTATTTGCAAACTCCAGACCATCCAAGCCTTTCATACCGCAACTTGTTCTTCTTAAATCCTTGTTTATTCTTCATTCCTCTCCCTTACAAACCATGAGTTTTCATCCCTGAAGTGGGGTAAGGTTCTGGATTCTTGGATAACTGAATACACTGCGGAGTCACCATTTAAAAATCATAGAAATAGTCTTCATTTGGCATTTTGAGTGCCATAGACTACTTTTAAATTTCATTCATCATTTCAGAAACATGTGTGAGCCCTTCACAGCCAGTGTCCTCCAGTGGGGAAGTGACCTTCTCCTTGCCATCTATTTCTCTGCCTGGCAGACTGACAAGGCAGACGGTCGGAGGCTGTGAGTTGATGGCTTGCACTATTATCTTCACCACTAAACCGGGATCAGAAGGCGTATCGTTGTACAGCAACTGGTCTTTGTGAATGAGCCTGGGAACGATTTTCGAAAGGGACACTGCTTTTCTGTGAGCAGTGATGCCTCTACTGCACACGAAGTCGGTGACTTCTCAATACTGATGTGCATCCTGCTTCACAAAACACACGTTAATTCAGTGCAAACCTCCTGGCTCCTGTGGCACGTGTGCTCGGGGCCCGCGGATCAAGGAGCTGCTGAGCGCAACTGTGTGGAGCACACTTGCTGGCCTCCGGTTCCCAAACGCCCCGCAGGGCCTTGTCCCAGGGCAAGCGGTGGGCTGTGGGCAGCACACCCATGTCTCCCGCTGTGGCGTGGGTCACAGTCCTTTGATGAAGGATTTTGCTATCAGCTGGTGCCACGTTCTCGCTGAATATGATGTTTGTGATTAATTTTGCAGGTAGTTTGAGAAGCTTCTCACCAATAATGAGACTTGCCAGTTTTTCCTACTTGGTTTCTTTCATTCATTCTTTAGTGATGAAATTAATTCAATTAATATCAGAAAGCTGTTTTTTTTTTTTTTCCTGTGTGTGCTTGTTCTGGAAAAAAATCAAGGTTTTATTTAAAGACGAGGAGATGCTGTGCTGGCTTCCTGTCATGATCTGACATAACAGACATGGTGGCCAAATGGATGGCCGAGCTCAGTAAACCTAAGTTTCAAATGCTCATCACCACATTTTCTTTCATTACTCTTCATTTTTGGGTGGCATGGACACACAACACAGTGTCTTGTCCTGGGACATAGATTCGCGCTCTGTGCTCATGTCGGAGCCCTGTTCATGATTTACGCGTTCATGCGTATGATATGCTTTTGAGTTGCGGTGTTTGCGTTATCATTTTATAGCCTCACTTTCAGGCTTAGGTGGATCTCTTCTGTGACTTGGGGCTGTGACACAGCACAGTAGTAGAACAAAAATACAAACCTGAACAGTAGACGGTGAAAACGTGAGTGGAGACAAGCTGCAGGCTGGTGTCTGAATGCGAGCAGAGGTTATGAAGAACGTGATGGGATTTCTGTAAAAATCATAGTTGCTAACACTTCAAATCTGTGAACACATTTCTTTAACTCTTTTTTCCCTCCGAAGCCACCAAACTCCCAGAGACCACACTTTGGGAACATGATCCTACAGTTTTTGACAACAACATTCCTGGAACAGAGCTCATGAATTGGGTATGTGGGAGGGGACTGGATCCTGGTGAAGTTTAAAGAGAACAAAAATCAGAAACTGAAGGAACAACAGGTCTGGGCTTCTAGTTTGGGAGAGTTGGGGAACAAGGAATTTAAGGTATGTCCTTACACGTGTTTTCGTTTCTTCTTTCTTTGTACCTTGCAGAGTAAAAGCCAGGGATCCGTCTTTGTCCGGATACACGCCCCATGGCAGGTGCTGGCCAGAGAGGCAGAATTCTTGAAGATCAAAGTTCCCACCAAGAAAGTATGAGCATGTTTCTCCTGGGTTCTGGGCCTCCCGAGGGCGGGGTGAATGTGAATAGTTTGGGAAGAAGACCAGGTGGGATGTGGGTTTTGTGGAATTGAAGTCACATTCTCCTCCCCAGGGATCCTAAGTATGTGGCCGTGATGTGGGTGGGACAGGGGAGAGAGCTGGGGTGGGAGAGGGATCTTCCCTTTCGGAGCAGTGTCTGGGTTGTGCTCCAGGAGAAGCCAAGCACCGCCCTGCTGCACCTCTTCATCTCTCTGTTGCACCTCTTTTCTCCCCCTTCTTGGGGTCCCAGCACTGCCAGACATTTCTTTAGAGGGGAAGTAGCAACGAGGGCAGACAGCAATCATGCTGCGTGGGCCAGCAGTGCGCAGGGCAAAGAGCACCACGCTGACGTGGTGACTCCTGTTCTGCTGCCAAATACTGCCCCATGGTAGGTTTCACTGATCTCTTCTGTGAGATAGAAGGTTCTTAATCAGGCGAGTTGATTAAAATCATCTGGGGGATGTTCTCAAAGTGTTCATACCAGCATCCACCTCCGGGGTTTTGATTCAGTTGGTTGGTATGGAATGAGGTTCTGACACCATTACTGTGAACATCCCCAGCAGGTTCTGATGCATATCTGGGTCGAGATCCACACAGCTTAGATGAAGTCTGAGTTAGTTTTCAGCCAGAATAGTTTATATGTAATTTTAAAAAATCTACCTAGGAAATTCCTAGGTGACATGTCTCCTTGTATAACAAAATCCAGCAAATAGCTCCAAAGAGAAAGGAAGCATGTGTTCACAAATTCCCCATTCTTTTCCTTTAGGGGAAAGACTGTGTCCATCTGAGATGTCTCTTGGGTAGGGTCTTGGGTAGATGGTATTCTAGTTTGACCACAGGTGATCCATGGGCATTCTCTCTTTCTTTTTCTGTCTTTGTCTTTCCATCTCTCTCTGTCTCTGTCTGTCTCTCACACACACACCCACAGTGTAGTTTCCCAAGTGGTGAGCCACCTTTGCACAGAACATCTTGATCGCTGTGACCACCATTACCGTAATTTCCCCGCTCCCCATCATTAACAAAGCTCCTTATTTGCTGCCTTCTGTGCTGCCACTGTCTCACCTGCCTTCTCCATCACTGCCTTCGCCAGCGTGGTATAGTCAGCAGCACCGTTCTGGTTTACGCCGTTGGCTATGCTGGTAGCACTTTCACGACCGACAGACCTACTGTTTCCATTAAACATTATGCGTCAAATGCCAGTATGTGGCTGATGCCATCACGAATACCCTACTCAAGAAGAAAAAAGTCTATGGTTTCTGTTCTTATGGATTTATTAAAATGGACAATATATCCATGGCAGGTGGACAAATGCATATTAAACAATGAACTGTGTTAAACACAGGTGTGAATATTAGCTACAAATATTTTGCCAATAAAAGATACATTTTTGAGGTCCCATGCCTGGGGTGTCCTGGTTTCACAAGGCCCACGCCGTGGTCTTCTCCCCTTCAGCTGCGCTGCTATGTTCTTTGTCTCCTGGTTTTAGCTTTCTAACTCTTAATACCAGCGGCCTCAAATGCAGGCACCGTCTTTGCTCTGGACCCTGCTTCTCCTCAGCTGGCGCTCTCCCAGTCTCCTGAAAACGTGACCCAGTCCGTCCTCGGTTGGAGGCTTCTGTTTCCCTCTGGCGGGGTCCTAACTTGGCCAACCATCTCACGTCCCTTTCTTCTGATTTCCTTCTAACTCCAATATATTCTCCTTTCTCTTTGGTTTATTGAAATATCACTCTCTTAACCTCATTCTATTTGTATCTTGTGTCCTATGTGTTAATCTCTGCTGGCGGATCCTGGGACAGAAGGTGAGCAACCCTCTCCTTCCCAGGCTGCTGTCTCTCTCCCCCAGGACGATCCTTTTAGCAAGAAACCTAGAGGCCTAGGGGAAGCGCGTGTCCTCCTCTACGCCGCTGCGCCTGCTTTTCTTCTTTGCTCTCCGTCCCACCCTCTTTCCCTCCAGGCTTTTCTTTCCCTTCTCTCTCCCACCACCTCCCTCTCTGGACGCCCCTCCCACTCTCCGTCTCTGTTCTTTGCACACCTGCCAGTCCTCCACACCTCTTGTCTCGCTGCCACCTTCTCCTGCTCCTTATCCCAAGACTTAGTCCCCACGGAGTGCTTGCCTCTGGTTCCTGTGGTCTCTGCTTTGTCCTTTCACAGGCTCACACCCTTAGAGCACAGTTTCGCATAAATGACATACGGGTTGAGCATCCCTCATCCAGAATGCTTGGGACCAGAAGTATTTCATATTTCACATTTTTTTGGATTCGGGAATATTTGCATTATTCTTAGTGCACCAGTGAAGGTCTCTGCTTTGTCCTTTCACAGGCTCACACCCTTAGAGCATAGTTTCGCATAAATGACATACGGGTTGAGCATCCCTCATCCAGAATGCTTGGGACCAGAAGTGTTTCATATTTCACATTTTTTTGGATTCGGGAATATTTGCATTATTCTTAGTGCACCAGTGAACATTTCCTTTGAGTGTTATGTCAATGCTCAAAAGGTTTTGGATTTTGAAGCATTTCAAATTTCAGACTTTCAGATTTGGGATATTCAACCTGTATCTGACCTCAGAGTTTCAGTGCCCCTGTACATCAGCCATTTGAAACTCGCCATCAGTAGTTTAGGGAGTACCTGCACTTGAATCTGTAGATGAGACGTTTAGGGTGAAGACATAGTCTGAAGTGGCCGTCTCTGGGTTTGCCCCCTCCCTTTTCATTTTGGCAGCACAGGGTGGTGGGTGCTGCTCAGAAGAACAGGGTTCTAGCTTTGGCTCTGTACTTACTTGCTGTGTGACTTGGGGATGTCACCCATCTTTCAGAGCCTCAGCTTCCTCATCTGTGATATGGGCATAATAATACTTGGCCTATTTTCCTTACGAGGTTGTTGTAAGAATACAAGAGTTTGTTATTGTGTCTGTTTTCCCAAACATTTTATGTGTATTCTCAATTCATAGTCCCCCAGCATCTTCCTTCCCGACCAAATAGGCCTCCAGCCCTGAGGAGCTCCCACTGTAAGCCGGGCTTAGGAGAGGCACCAAGGCTTAGGAGAGGCGAGGAGGCCTCAGAAACCACCCAGGCCCTCAGGGAGCAGACAGCCAAAGGTGGCAGAGTGCACATCCCCAGGCACCAAAGCAGGGATTCAGTTCTGTGTCAAACTCATTCACACAGCACAGATCCTGCATGTCAATGTGGGGTTAGGGAGTCGGCGCAGAGGCAGAGCCATGTGATTGTTCCTGCAAGGCTGTGGATTTAACAGAGAGAACTTTTCCCCAAAGTTTCTGGGTCCCAGCCTTGACACAGGTGGACTGTTCTGGCATCCTTCTTTGAGTTCAGCCACATGGCCCTGGATCCTCTTTGTATTCACAGAATGAAGTGGCTTGGAGTTGACCTCATAGTGTGTATTATGAGCAGGCGAGGGGGATATAACTTGGTATGCTGGGTAGGATGCTCATGTTTGTAAAAATTAATCTGAGGCTGTGATCCCAGGGGTGGGGGTGTGGATTAACCCAGTTCCTGAGGTCAGAGAGGAGCGTGGAGAGGGGAGTCCATGGAGGACTTACCTTGGGTCAAGTGGCATTTCTGACCTTTTTTGGGTTTGGGAAGTGACTAAAATGAGAAAAAACCACATTTGCAAAGAGCCCCACCCTGGCAGCAGGGGAACGTGGAGGAGGAGTGAGGCATGGCGCGGGATCACTTAAGCATCCTCCAGGCCGGCAGAGGCTTGGACCATCTCTCAGCAGGGTCCGGAGAGACTAGGAAGATGGAGAGGAAATCATGAAATCGAGATCTCAAACCTGGACAAATCCATCGTAATACGTCCAGGGACTCTGCGTCCCGAGCACAGATATTAACAGGGAGGGGGAATCTTGGAAGGAAGCATTTGTTTTCCAAAAACAACAACTGAAGAGCCAGCATTTTGTGAGGGACACTCAACATCCACCCACAGGAGGGGCGGGAAGTTTGGCCTTTGGCCCCGAGCAGCCTGAGAAGGTTTGAAATGGGTGTTTGGGGGCTGGTGCTTTCTTGCTTCTGCTTGTTACCAAGGTGGCCTCCCTAAATTGTGGTCAACATCTGTGTTTATTTCTTATTCGCTTATATGTACACATGGAAATAACCCCCCCTTTTTCTCACCCCTTATGTTCATTTATTCCCCAAGCCTCTAGCAGAGACAAGGCTGGGAATGGGTGAGGTTGGTATCTGAGGCTGTTGGGGAGGACTTTCTTGTGCATGGAATCATATTAACCCAGCAGAGTCCACTCACTTTGGAAGAAGGGACATGCTGGGGACGGCTGAAAATCACTCTTGTCCAATCTGTGAGAGCATTCGCAGCGATTCCTAACAGAGGGGCTGGTATTGTGGGGTCTGTTTGCTGTCCCTAGCAGCCTGGAAGGGCTCTAGCATATGAGTCCTTTGCATGCAAGTAGATGCTGTTAACTTGCAGCAGGTCGTACCTTCTCAGCAGAGTGCTACACATCTAGACATGAGTAATAAATGTCACGGAGGCTGTCGTCAGGAGCGGGATGATGTGTGTGGCATGCCTGGCACGAGCACGGGCACCACGTGCAAACTGCTGCTGCTGCTGCTGCTGGCGTTGCTCTCGTTGCCATGCAGGTCAGCACAGCTGGCACCGGGTCAGGCTGTCCCTTCTTGCTGTCCTCTCCCCTTTCTCTCGCTTTGCAGTCAGCATCTGCAGCATTGGGGGAAACAGGCCCAGTCCCTTAACTCTGCCAAGGCAGCCAGAAGGCCAGACATGGAATCTGAGAAAGGCAGGAACAGATGGCCTTTGGACTACGTGCTGGGAGATTTCTGTTTCCTGGAGCATGGGTCCTTGGGGCATCTGTAAACATGACGGCTCCATGTGCGGGGTCTGCCGTGCAGTCTCTGAACGCCAGCAGGACGACTGCTCAGGCCCTGCCGTGCAGGAGGGGGCACTTGATGGTGCCCGTTTCCAGGCAGAGACAGC